AACACAGGCACCTCGATGAGAGCTGCATGGGCACCTGGGGGAGACAGGAATGGGCACACGGCTGAGAGATCTACAGGACTGGGGGAGAGCAATACAGGCACCTCGATGAGAGCTGCATGGGCACCTGGGGGAGAGCTGTATCGGCACCTGAGAGACAAATGGATACCTGGGTGACAGCTGCATGGGCGCTTCAATAAGAGCTGCAGGGGCAGCACCCCCGGGCACTCCGCGCAGTGCCAGTGCAGCCCTGCTGCCTGCTCAGCCCGTGCTCAGCCCGTGCTCAGCCCGAGCCGTCCCGGCTGCGCTGGAACCGGGCTGCGCAGGGCGGTGCGCGCACCTGGGGCACCGGGCACCGAGCATCCCCGGGCCTGCTGCCCGCGGGCCATTCCCAGCGGATCCGCCGAGCCCCGCGGCGGCACCGGGGAGGGAGCGGGGGATCCATCCCCGGGCTCCCCGCGCCGCCCCAGGCCGGCCCTCCCCGAGGCCGTGCCCTCCCGCCCGCGCCCGGCCCGGCCCGGCCCGCCGGTACCTGGCCGTAGTCCAGGCCGCCCAGCCCCTCGCAGCACTCCCGCGGGAAGCGCCGGGCCCCGCCCGCCGCCGCCGCCTCCCGCCGCCCCGCGCCCGGCCCGCGCCGCCCCGCCATGGCCGGGTGCCCCCGCCCGGCCCGGCCCGGCCCGGCCCGGCCCGGCCCGAGCGCCGCGGCGGCGCTGCCGGGAGCAGCCTTGGGCCCGCCCCGCCGGGAGGAGCCGGGCCTGCAGCGCGGCGGGGCCGGGGCAGCACTGACCTCGCGGCGGCGGCGGGCCGCGCGGAGAGCGGGGCTGGACTTGGGCCGTGCCCGCGGGAGCCGCGGGAGCGGGCGGGACCGAGCCCCCGGGGCCGCAGCGGGAGCTGGGGAGCGGCTGGGCGTGGGACGGCCCCGCTGGGAGACGGAGCGGGCAGCGAGTGGGCACCGCTGCTGCGGGGGCAGAGACGGGCGCTGCCAGCCCCCGTCTGTGCCCTGCCAGCCCCCGTGCCTGCCCCTTGCCTGATTCCTCCCCATTCCCTTTTGCCCAGAGAAACCCGTGCCTGCAAGTGTTCCGGGCCAGGCTGGACTGGGCTTGGAGCCTTAGCGCGAGGTTTGCCAGCCCATGGCTTGGGGTGGAATGAGATGATTTGTAAGATCCCTTCCAACCGAAACCATTCTATGATTCCATGGTTCTGTGATCCCTGCCCATCCCCTGCGCTGTCCCAGTTCACCGCTCGCACCAGGGCCCGGAGCTGGGAAACAACTGCAGTGGCTCCCTAGCACAGGAAATTGAATGCTGCTTGACCAATATTACTCATTCAAGGGCAAAATCTAAAGCTACCAAGTCTAAACGTATTTTAAGGACAATTCATTGCAGCCTTCTGCCTTCAGCCAGTGCAGTATATTTTTTTTATTGCTGTTATTATTACTACTTATGTTATTTTTTTCTTTTCAGTCCTCTCTAGGATGTTTCTGGTTAAAGCACCTCATGGGCTGCAGTCCTGGACCTGTCTGGGAAATCGGGTAGTATCATCCCTGTAGACCCCTGAGGGTCTCTGCTTTTGCAGATTCTGCTTTGCAAGGAAATAAATTTTCTTCTGAAAGGAATTTGGTGTGAATGAGCTGCAAGAGTCCCTCCCGGAGGTCTCATGGGAGCAGGAAAGGGAGAGGATATCTGAGTACTCATGTCCTGCCAGGCACCAAAAGTGTGCATGAGTGATGGCTCACTCAAAGCCCTCCCCAGGAGAATGGCATCTCTGGAGGATACACTTCAGCACACCCCAGGGACCCCAGTTTGGCTCCACAGGAAGCCAACCTCCCTTAGTTCTGCTGCTCCAAACCCCTCGGAGCACCAGCACATCCCCACCTCCCCACCTGCACCATCAGCTCCGGCACTCGGGGTGCTCACACAGGGCCCAGGGAGCACATTCCCGGTAGGAGCTGGGCTGGTTTGGGCTGAGGCACACACCGAGGCACTGTGGGTGGGAGCAGCGTTCCCCATGGATGATCTCCAGCTGCTTCCGGCCTCTTCTCCACTGCGCTGGATAATTTTGCTGTGCCAAGTGTGTAATTAGCGCCTCTGCCATCTCGGGAGCAGGTGGGAGGATGTTTGTTCTGAGTCCCACCAGCTGCGTGCTGGGAGCAGCAGGAAGGGCGATGTGGATGCGGTGGGGAAGCGATGGTGGCTGGGATATGTGAGATGCTCATGTCCCTCTCCAGGAAGAACTGGTGGGGAGAGATCTCCAAACTGTCCTCACGGCTGCAAGGGGAGGGTGTGCTGGTGATGCCAGCGGTGCCAGCTGGGAAAGGACAAGGGTGTTGTGGCACAGTGGGAGGAGGAATGGGTCTTGCACAGTGATGGGTGGTGAGGAGGTGCAGATGGTGAGATGATGCACAGACAAAAAAAACATCTGCTGGCCTGGCTCCTCATTTAGGGTCAGCAGAGCTGGGCTGTCATGGAAACATCTGTCCTGTCACTCCAGTGAAGGCACATGCTGCAGAATCCAGTGTCCTGCCACCGGCTCAGTTGTGTTTGGGGCAGCAAATCACACTTGAGCCTCCTCGCCATTTCCACTGCCAAATTCCCTGTCTGTGGAAGTTTTTCCATGTTAGAGGGAAAGAAGATGTTTGTGGCAGTGGGGCCTCTCCATGCTGGCCTTCATCCCACATTGGACACATCCCTGCAGCTGTGCAGGAGACAAAGAGGGCTTTCTGCAAAGGCTGGATTTTATGTGCCCGTCCCTCCCCTTCTCCCCATGGCATGCCTTTCATCCAGCTCTCCTTTTCTGAGCACCAAGCTGAGGAAGAGGACATTGCCCTCAGCTTTCCCAAGTCCTTTCCCAGCATGAACTCCTTCAGTGCCCCTTGAAATCCCACCACGATCCCAAGAGGGCCCCAATGAATATGGAATTGCATCATGGCAAAGGACGCTGAATATGTGTTAGCAGGACGCTGTGGCTTGGCAAGATGTGGTTTGTTCAGAAGCATTTCAAATTTCAAACACAACCCGGGAAATTCCCCACATGTGGAAATCTAGGGCAGGGAGTGCTGTTGGGTGGTTTTCCCTCAGAAATGGGACATTGATTGGGAAACTGCAGTCCGGTAACTTCAGCACAGAGGGACAACTCTCCTTGCAAGACCAGGAAAAAGTTTCCAGGCCAAATGATCGGTTTCCTTGCTGGCAAAAGAAAAGACAAGTCTTATGTCCATTCCTTTCTGTCCAGGTCCTTGTGTCATGGCCCTCATGTTCAAATATGCCCTGAAATAAAGCTGATCCCTGTAGGTTTGGCCCTTGCAAACCTGCAAGGGCCTGTGCTGATGGGTCATAGAGATCAAGGACAGAGCATTGAAATGTGTGGTAAAGAACAACAAATGATGCTGGAGCACAGAGCTGAAACCTTGGGGAGAAGCAGCAAAACTGCAGCTACTGCTGTGTCCTCCATCAGATAATGTACAGTTACCAGCGGTGTGATGCTGCAATCCAGACCTGCAATCCTGGTGGAAATCCTCTAGTGTTTGTGCTGGAGGTTAGTTCTATTTATTTTCTGATGAATGATTTACTTGAGTAATTGGCACACAGCTCCCCTATTACAGATCATAAAGAATTAATCACGAGATTTTCAATGCTCCCCTATCAATTTTATTAGGCTTGATTGAGCGTAGTGGATTGGGAGCATATGGTATGTGAGGCAGACTCTGCTCCCAGTTACACCCTGGTTATGCTGAGGACTTGCTCAGCTGCTGATCCCTGTAAATCCAGAGAGACAGCTGCTCCTTTCCTCCTTTCCATGTCCCCCCCATTCCTTGAGTTCCCTTAAATACCCAGGAATACAGAGAACAACCAACACCACCTCCACGTACCTAAATTCTCCGAAGGCCTGAGATGCTCCCAAACTGGAAGCCAAGCTGGGTAGAGGATGCTTTCTTTGCTTCCAGCTCGTCCATGTGTCAGCATGAGGCAGAAACTGGAGCCAAATGCTTGGGAGCTCAAGATCTGCCCCTGCGAAGGGGACGTGTCACGGCGTGGGAGGCTTGTCACTGATGAAAGCTGAGGATGCCTGTGTTGGCGTCAGGGAGTCCTGCCAGCCAGGTTTGCCCACGGGAGATGCTTTCTTGGAAGAACTGGCAAAAAGAAGTCCTAACACCTGCAGGAGCAGGATGACACATCCCTGCCCCGAACCAGCAGCACAGCGTGATTCCCTGGAGCAGAAACCTTCTTAAAAGCCACATCCCCTGTGTGATTCCCCTCATGCAGAGAGCCAGGAAAACCTTCAAAATTTCCATGTGGAAAGCTTACAGTCCTTCCCTTGCTTTTTGCCTGTGGGTGTTGTTACCATGCAGAGTCGTGATTTCAGGGAAGGGGATGGTGCAGGGCCCTGCTCCAGCTTTTGGGCAACGCTCACCTCAGTGAAACTGCTCCCAGTAACACCAGTATCTCAATAGGCATTTACAGGAGAGAATGGGAACTTCAGGAGTAGATGGAGCTACTTGCATAAGCCCAGCTTATCCTGAGCTAGCTACCCTTGCAAAGCAGCCAGTCTGGCTCAGCTTCAACCCCCATCCCCATCTGCTGCCTCGAGCAGCTGCATTGAAGGGCATTGAGAAGTTATTGCCAGTAACTATTGGCAGGAGCCAGTGTGGAAACCTCCCTCTGGGAAAGCTGACCTGGGGAGGGAAAATCAGGAATGCAGCAGAGGACAGAGCAGGATCTGGCTGTTACTGTCAGAACATTTTGCATGCACACGGTCGTGGTTCAGGAGCAGAGCGAGCAGGACTTTGCTCAAGGGTCTTGCCCAGCTTCAGTGAGCCCAGTCCATGGTGCTGCCTCTTTCTGCCATGCCCCTGCTGCCTGCACCTGAACCAGCTCTCCAAGGCCTTGTTGTGTCCACACTTCTGGGTGAACATCCCTCACAAACCCCCCAGGCTCTGGGAATTCCACGCTGACTCCAGGTGAACCTTATGTTGAAGCTGGGTCTCGCCTGGGTGCTCTCCCTGGCACAGCCACAGCTCTCACTGCTTTGAGCCAGGGCATCGTGCCCTTGTTACACTTCAGTGGGGAGAAGCACACAGGGCACAGGCACACACAGAGGCATTAAGGTGCATTTTTTCAGCCTCAGCATCTCCAGGGAGCTCCAGTGCCCCTCAGAGCCTCACATGTGATGGGCACAGTGGGACGGAGCAGGGTCCCTCCAGGGGAAGCATCCTGTCGGAGGAGCTTCCCGACATCTGTGCCCTGAGCCTCGTGGAGATAACATTTAGGGAAGGATTCTCACAGCTCCCCTGCTCCCCGAGGCCGCGTCCATCACCAGCATGTCTCTAATGAAGCGGAGGCTTTGCTTTCTGGGATCAATGAATCCACGGATCGTGACCTGTCTGCTAAGTGGGAAATCAGGTCTCTCCCTCCCCAAACTCGTCTGAGCTGGGCTCAAACAGCAGGTTCTGTCCCCAGGGTTACTCTGTGTCGCTTAATTGCAAACCCTGAGTCTGATTAGAGAGCAGCAGCCAGGGTGTGCAGAGTTACCACGGAGCAGCGGCTGCTTCCCCAGCCTGGGAGATGGCTGCAAAGAAGGAGGACATTTTGAGGCTCCAGGTGGGTGGAAATGACCCAGATTTCCCTTTTCCAAAAGGTCCTGACTCTGCACAGCTGGTTGGAGGGTTTACTGCCAATCTGCTGTCCCCCGAAGCCCTAAATCCCTCCAAAGCACTTTTCATGGGGACAGATGCTTTAAGAGAAGCTGAGGCTTCCCAAAGCAGAAGGCAGCTGAAAAGGTCACTGCTACCATGTTCCCTGGCCACAGGCACATCCCATGACAGACGTGGGAGCAACCCCCATTGCTCCTGGGTCCATCCAAAGAGGCTGAACAGCTTTCCCTAATGCTTCCTGCACCTCCAAGTCCTCTCTGCCCCTACAAACCACCCTGTGCACCCCCAGTGCCTTTTCCCATCAGGTGCAAAGGGCTGAACCAGCCTCCAAAAAAATTCCCTGCACATCAGCAGCCCAAGGGTAAGGTGCATTGCTCTAGACACATCTAATTAGGGTGTCTCCATTAGCTGAGCCATCTAGATGCCCAGTGCTGACTGCAGCATCCAGGAGGAATGGGATGGATCCATCATATGGAGGGGGCTGAGTCACAGCACCAAGCATTCCCTCCGTGGCCATCTCTCATCCCTTGCTCTGCTGGTGCCTGGCTTTTCCCAGGCAATCAGCATTGCTCTCAAATGTGAGCCCCAGGAGGGCTGTAGGGAGAAAAAGCTCTCATTGAGGACTTGGCAGGGAAAAAAAGCCTGGAAGTGGAGGCTGCTTCGTGCCAGGTGTGATGGTCCCTACAGCAAGTGCCACAGAGAGCTGGGCTCAGAGCCTTTTCAGAGCATCAGCCTTTCCCTGAGTGGTCTCTCAAAGCTGTGGGGATGTGCTCTGCCTTCAGGCTGAATCCACGTGGAAGACTCCTGGGGAAGGGCTGACTGCAAGGCAGGACACAAACATATGCTTGTGGGGGCCAGGGAAGAGGCTCCATGGGGACACACAGGTCTATCCTGAGGAACCACAGAGCCAGCTATAAATACCTCCTCAGAGCATCACTCCCCCTCCTCTTTGATGTTTTCCTGTT